TGCAACAGGCAAGGACACACCGCTCGTTACTGCAGAGCACTAGCACCGTCAAACACCTCGATTTCTGGTGAAAAGATGGGTCAGGTTTGCTACAAGTGTGGTGAAACTGGACATTTCAAAAGAAATTATCCAGGGGCTAAGGATGGCCGGGAAGCTCGCTTCGCAAAGGCCCCGACTGAGCACATCATTTCCACTACCGACGCTAGCATAGCTCAAGTGTGCGGTACATGTGGCGAAATGGGACACTTCACAATAGACTGCCCAACAGAAAAGAACAATGAGGAAACCGGAGGAGTCTGACCTCAGTGAAGGAGGAAGCATCGAAGGACTCTGCGTTGTTTTGGTACGTTTTCAAAAACCCCAATAATTGTTCATAATTGTGATTGCTTTCTCGTCCGAATTGAATCACGTAATCCTCATAAGGTTTAAAGCCCTAATAAGCAAATCATGATAGCTTAAGTAAATACGCTAGGGGCAGTTGTAGTTATACATGACTTGTATGCACCAAACCCTTTGTCTTAAATAGTTCAATCGCAAAACTCCCGTTGCTCGTAACGACAAATTGGATGCGAACTTCGAAAACTCATCACTCTTCGAAAACCCGAAAGTATTCATGCGAAGAGTATCATCCACCAAGAAATGGACGAGATAAGAGAACAATCTAGACAATTGAAGATGCGTCGTGAGACACTCATCTATCCTTAATTGAACCTTTTTTGCAAACAACGGCGACCTTTCCAGTAGCAAGGCTGCACCGTTCGAAGCCCTCTGCAGCCATAAGTACAGACCCCATCTGCGCTGGGCTGAGGTGAGCAACACACAGCTAGACAGGAGTCAAGTCCACAATAGCACTCTCGCAAGTCATCATCCGAGAGACGGCTGGAAGGATCGTACGAAAGGGCTACGCCGATGAGAGACAAAAACCCTTGAAATTCCAAGTTGGTGACCGTGTCCTTTTAAAGGTCTCACCCTGGAAAGGCCTGATACGCTTCGGAAAGCGTAGAAAGCTAAATCCAAGATACGCTGGACCGTCTGAGATCCTAGCTAGGATCGATCCCATAGCGTACAAACTCCAGTTACCTCGAGCGCTTAACAACGTCCATCCCGTCTCTCTTGTGTCGAACCAAATAAGTGTCCGTCCGATGAGACACCTACGAATTCCCCTCGACAACCTCGAGTTAGACAAGCGTCCATTGAGCTCACAGATCGAGAAGTCAAGCGAACGAAATAACATCACATCCCGATAGCGGAGGTCCACTGGAACGTCAAACAGGAACTTGGATTCACTTGGGATCACAAGAGTTCCATGAACCTTAAGTACCTCCATATTTTCCAAGTCTATGAGTTATACCTCTATTCTTGAATTTCGGGATGAAATTCCCTCTAACGGGGGGATGATGTGACAACCCGAAACTTCTATCTTGTACCTTAGTCAAATTCTATCAATGTTAAACTCGTTTCAGCTATCTTTAGCATTGTTTTGAGCCTGTTTGGATGATCTAAAGCCTTGTACAACCAAAGTTTGAATTAGGGATGGGTTGGTTTAAGATTTAGGGTTGCAAATAGGCCAAACACTCCATCAAAAGGAGTGTGTGGCCGCACACCCGAGTGTATGGCCGCACACACGAGTGTGTGGCCGCACACCCATCCTCCAGCCGCACACTCATCCCTATTTATATAGGGTGACCCCTTCACTCATTCCTTTCATTTGGCTGCACTCTACTTTCTCCCTCTACTTTCTCTCTCTAAAAACTTCATCCAAGAACGCTCTCAAGGCCTCAAAAACGTGAGTTTTCCATCACCTAGCTTATCATACATGAAGGACCCATTGATCTAAGCCCCTAACCATGAAAGTTCATCATGTTCTTCATCACATGAAGGTGTACGGCCGCACATCTTCATAAGGTGGCCGTACACACCTTAAAGCTCTCCAAAGTGAAGAGTTTGGCCTTCATTCACTAGTAGGACTTGGTATTAGCACTAGAACATCTAAAAATCGACATTTCGGGCACAAATGAGGAGTGTACGGCCGCACACTCCTGTGTACGGCTGCACACACCCTCTGTACGGCCGCACACTCCTGTGTGCACCGCATACACAGCCTGGCCGCACACACACCCTAATGACCATACACCTCCTTTGTTTGATCACATAAGGTCCCGACAAGCATTTCCAAGTCTTTAGGGTGGTTTCCCGTCATGTTTTGTCATGGAATACCCAAATCTAATACATATATGTGCTATTATATGTTACTAGGATCCACTTGAGTGAGAAACCTCAATTGACAGTCAACACTCGTAACCGATCATCCGCTCGAATCATCCGTCAAACAGTGAGTTCATACCCCTACATTTTCCGTGTTTTAATGTTTTCAGGGGGGAATACAAGCCAAACGCTAAGTATTTTGTTAAGTTTTAAACTTATTAATGCAGTCCAACGATTTCCACGTTTAATAACATATTCAGATATTTTATCTCTTTTTGTAATATGTTGAACATAAGGGAAACTTCTATTTTGGAAATCCAACTTCATAGCTTTCAGAAAGGTTTTTACAAAGCATTTTCCATATCAACTCTAATAAACTATAATGGGTATAGTTTGGGATAACCCTCTAGGCAGTCTCTACTTAATCAGATTTCATAAATGAATATATATAAACTATGGCAGATTTAGTTTATGTTATATGTTTTCTCAGAAGTATAAAGTACATTTATTCAAGGATAATTACTGTTTTATACTGATTTCTCGCTAGTAAACTAGATTATACAGAATTGTGAGGCGCTACTTCAATACTGTACCCTTAGGTGTATAGTGATAAATCCTTTTAGTATAACCAGAGTCTCCTGGAGGGAGAGCGTGAGATTTGTGAATAGATCTATTCGGGACTGACAATCCCACACCAGAACTGCTAGCTACAGTTAGGCGGGCACGCCTGTGGTGAACAAATGTCATTTAGCTTAACGCCTGAAGGAACGTTATAAAGGTCTCTCGGTCATATCAAGTATGGTTATACGACTCGCAAATAAGTATAAACTAATTTTGTTTACGGACTCTCTTCTTCATTTGTTTTATTTTAAGTAATAAAACTACTTTTATATATGCTGTTAGTAATCAAGGACTTCTAAACTGGCATCTCTACCTCTAGGACGGATAACATGTTTTCTAAACCTGATGGTTTATTTTCTACTATTAGACACTCTTTCAAGACCGCTTTTCATAAGAAAATAAAGGATTTTCTTGAAGAACACTTTTCAAATGGATTCAAAGAACATTTTCTCACTAAAACTAAATGCTTATGAACTCACCAGCTTTATGCTGATATTCTTTCAAAACTGCTTGTATTCTCAGGGAATTAGTAAACAGGTACTTCCAGGAGTTCGGAGAAGACGAAGCGTTAGAGTCACGTCTGTCTATTTTACTTTTGATATGAATAAAACTATGTATTAAACAATGTAAACCTTTTTCACATATGTATTCAATGTCTGGTTGTGTGTACTATGCTTGCTATGATACAATTGTTGTGATACTACGCATGACGTCCTCCACCCCGGAACGATTCCGCCATCACGGTTTCGGGGTGTGACAACCTTACAAGCCACTGTGTCTTGAGATACAAATTCTGAGCCAATTACATTAACAGAATCATTATCCATGTCCTATAATATTATGGGTAAAAAACGTTTGTTACATTAAGGATTCTATCAAATATTATGTAGTAAAGTAATTAGTATGGTGTATTTTTACCTGTTCAATCATATTCTTCTTCTCAATGTTTTCCAAAGCAGAAATAATGTCGACATTATCTGTTAGCTTGGAAATGTTGTAAGAACGACCAAATTTTGAGAAATTGAAAGTCTTGACAACGATCTTAAAAGCCAATTTTTTATTGAGCATGGCGTTCAACTCATTTGGAAAGTCACTTGGATTGTCGAACTAAAAAAATTATTAGTAAACAATATGAATTAAATAAATGTTTAAAAAACAACATTAATTTAGCAATATGGTATTGATTATAAAATACATATACCCTTTCATATCTTGATATTAATTCAGCAGCAGATATTTTCAGAAGATTTCTTACTTCACGATCAAACATTGTAAGACTCACCACTCCAACTAAACCTTGAACTCGAACTTTGATCATGTAACTTAATATATATATATATATATATATATATATATATATATATATATATATATAAATTTGTAACATTAAAAATAAATATAAAATTATTGAATAATAATATATTAAGTTTTTATTTGTTACATACCTTGGTTCAGCAGTAACATCTTTGCCATTGCAATCTTTTTTTGGACAAAACATCATCTTTTTCTCTTCAAACCGGTCCAAGCCATTGACCGTCTCATTTGGAACATCCATTAAAATAACCTTTGACTTGCATTTTGTACACACATTATAGTACCAATTCCGCATATCTTCAAACATCTTTATTGTTCCAAGAATTACCACACAACTTCCCTATGATAGTAGGTGTATTTAGAGTTGGTTAATATTTTAGTATTGGATTAATTAAATTAATAGGGGGATCAATTATGTACCTCATTCAATTCGTGAATAGCGGATATTTTGTAAAAGGTGTTCTTTTGAACAAAATCATCATGTAGTGAATACATGATCGATGATCCCGATGCACGTGAGACCGAAGAACACGAAGAGTTTTTTCTTGCTTGTAAAAGCTTTTTTTAGCATTTAATAATTATTATATATCATAAATATGAATTAATAAAATATTGAATTGAAATGAGAAATATTGAATTGAAATGAGAAATCATTTGGAAAATTCATGAAACCTTTTTTTGAAAGCAGTTATCTCCTCAATGTCGTCCTCAATAAAAAGCTTTGTAGCCAAGTACGTGTTGTTGACATATGGACGCTCTGAAATGGATATTTTAATTTTTGTATGAATGTTAATAATTTCATAAAACCAAAATTTTAAGAATATAAATATTACAAATTAGTATCATGGTAAATACGTACGTCAGACATTCTTGAACTTAGCAAGTTGAATAATCATTACAAAATGACCATGATTGTTTGAAACATATGCAACAATTTCATCAGCATAACGTCCCCATAGAGTAACAAAAACTTCATGTCCTCTGTAAAAAGAAATAAAATTAAAAAACAAAGCATCATTAGAATAATAAAAATATGTATAAAGAATGAAACTCACTCTAAATCCTCCATTTTTAGTGTGATTTTCTGCTCCTGTTTGTCTTTTGGAGGTTCCAATGGAAAACATTGGAAAACGTTTCCTATAATATCTATATTATAGACAACGAAAAGTGTAAGGATGTATTTGTTATGGTGTAAAAAATTAAATTTAGATAAGTTAATCCATTAGCAAAGGGATTTGAGGGAATACACTAACCAAATGACACATTGGCTTGGATCGAATTAGAATGAAGTTGTTTGAAGTCAATGAAAGCAAAGGAATTATGGGGCCCACAAAAGTCTTTGCATTTAATAACCTTAGTGCTATACTGGAAATAGAGTTTATGTGGACAATCAACAAACTTTATAGCACCATTATTTAACCCTATTCTGGGTTTTTGAATGTAGTAATCACCATATTCTTCCAAAGTTTTTCTTTGTAGGGATGCAAATGGTTTATCCACATTACATTCAAATTTGGCGCCCTATAAATAGTTGAAAAAATATAATAATAAGTTATACTACATATAAAAATAATTATAACTTAACATGTATAAATAAATAATATTAAAAATAATAAACTAAAAAAAATCCAAAATACCCTTTCGTCCATCAATATCATTCCAATCATAGGAATCTGTTTCCACAGACGAATGATTCGAACCTTGATCGTGTAGTCATCTTTTGCAAGTGCCAAGTCACTGATCATGGTAACATTGGTGTTTTCTATTAAGCTGTAAACCAAATGTAGTAACGAAGATTAGTTGTTATATAACAGAAAAGTATTATAAATTAATGACAAAAATAATTTTCAAAAGCATGATGACGAAGCATAAATAATACACATATAAGAAAGTAAATATAAGCATTTGCACTCTTTACAAATATATAAATAAGTAAAATGGAAACGATAAATTTAACAAATTTGTTTGGCTTGTAAGTTGTGCATTTGCTTCTGTAAATTGCATTATTGAATATCCTGTTGTAGAAATTGTTTCCAAAAATAGAAACTTTAAACAACCCATGTATTGTTGACTGGGGGAGTTATTGATGATTAATTGACATGAAATTTGGATCTTGAAATATCTTACTGCAACACCTTTTTTTGTAACTTGTGCCTTTCCTTGTGTTACAATATGTAATCATTGTAAACAAAGTTATTCAACCTTCAAAATTCCTTTATGTACAGAAATAGAAATCAGGGGCATTTAAGGAAAGACATGGTGAAATGTCCAAAATACCCTTATGTCAAAATTTACATTTGACTTTCATTGGGGTATTTGTTGGGAGTATCAGTATATCAATATTATCATCTAAATAACTCTAAATAATCATGTTTCGAAATAGATTTGAACTTTTTACATGTAGATAAACTATAAAAAAAAATTAGCGGCATTTAAAGACAGCCATTATACAGGTTCAGAGATTAGTTAATAAACTAACAATAATAAAAAAATTAGAAATTCCTAAATCGGTGTATTCCCATATCCTTGTGTTACAATATGTAATCATTGTAAACAAAGTTATTCAACCTTTAAAATTCCTTTATGTACAGAAATATAAATCAGGGTTATTTAAGGAAAGACATGGCGAAATGTCCAAAATACCCTTATGTGCAACTACCAGAAAGATATGTAAAACCAAACAGAGAACAAAAATAAATTGATACACTTTTATGTCGACCAAATGCATTAAAGATATTTTGTTATTGAAATTCTAATTGTTTGGAATTCAAATTCCTTAAAACCAATCACCTGCTTACTCTATTTTGAAGAATTGCCTATACATTGGTTGTGTTATCCAACGAAATTTAATCCTTTATATGCATGTGATCAATTTTAATTCACAAGTATTTAAGATATTTTGATATGCAGGAGAAAAGACTCAGAGTAAAAGTGCAAAACATGACAATCACAGTTGTTGCAGCAGGGTGTGTGACAGGGGGAAAAAAATTTCTTTGAGGCATTTAATCGAACAACTTATATGCAGTAAAACATGTGTAAATAATTAGTATATAAATTTGTATACAATTCGACCATATCATGGAAAGGAGAAGAGGAAAACATGAAATGTTCAAATAAAAAAGAATCAAATCATTTTGGTGATTCTGTAAAGTAATTGTATCGATCATTACATATGCTAACCTGATGTAGTAGATATTGTTGATAATGGAGTTTGATGATGAACGTGGTCATGCTGTAAATCTTCAATCTCTCAATAAAACGCGACATATGAATGAGATTGTAGCTGTATATATTTTTCAAAATTGAATTTGGAAAGGATATGAAGAATAGCTGTGAATGAATTGATTTGATAAGTTTCTGCAAATAAGAATCAATATGAGTGGTGATTTCCGAGAATTGTGTATGTAATTTAGGAAGATATATTTGGATTAAATGTATTCATTGACAAAAATCGGGAGGATATTGTCGTTTCCTTTATTTGTATAATGCAGTAAATTTTTTACAATTTTTAATTTGAAAAAAAAAACCAAAAAATCCATAATTTACCAAGTGGAATAAAATTTAATTGAAAAAAGTTTAAAAATGCCATGTGTCATATTGAATGAAGAGGTGACACGTGACACAAAACCTTCATTTATCAAGGGAGATGCCATAAGTGTTAGATGTCATAATTATAAATTTAATTAAATGTTTACTTATTATACCACCATGGCCTCATATATAAAATAAAATTTCCAAAAAATATTATTATTAATGGTACACATGTTTTGTTTAAATATTCTAATTTTTATAAAAAATGGGACGTGAAAATTTTCGTTTTTCAAATTAAAACTTCTTATGAAGATTTAATATATATCATATATTATGAACTTTTTGAAAAAAAAAATAAAAATAAAATTGTTTCGATATTAAACTTTATTATAAAAAATTACATGGTTTTTTTAAATGTTAATTATAATATGATATATTCAAAATAGTTATGATTAAAAAAATTCTTATTCAACATGTTTTTATCCTTAAATTGTTATTATCTAAAAATATTTTGACTCAAATATTCTATAATCCTTAATTATAATTGGGACCCTTGCTTCGCTTCGCACCTCGTCATAGCCTTGAAAAGCTCACTCAGAGTTATAGTTAGAGAATGGGATATGATTAACTACTTGCCTATGGTATTGGATCCGCTCTTCTCTTAGCATGAACATGAATTCTATTCTATTCGTCTTCTTTAACCTCCTTGAAGTCTCAACTAATGGGGGAGGAGTGAGATTATTTTATTATTCAAAATATATAATTATCCTAAAATTGTTATGAATAAAAACTTTATTTATTTGCATATATTATTGATCCAAAATCATGTGATTAAAAAAATAATATGATCCAAATTACTATGATTCGAAATAATTTGATCCAAAATTTTATAATCTAAAAATTATATGATCCAAATATGGTATGACCTGAAAATATTATGATTCTTAATATAGATTCAAATATTTTACAATTGATTAACATTAAAAACTCGAACCAACATTTTGTTCAATAAAATCAAAAGTTAAAAAAAGAAATCAAAAAATAAAAACAAAAACAAAAACAAAAAAACACTAGTAACTTCAAATATGTAGTAAAATATTAAAAAAAAAATCGAGGCTTAAACAAAAAGCCAGAAAAAATACATACCATAAGTGTTGAATTAGATGTCTAAGCCCATAACTATTATTGGTATGTACTTGACCCGAGAGTAGCATGATCCATTTGGGTTGCATATCATCAGGACAATTTGTTAGGATGGACTTTTGAGAGAAGGTTATTTATGGTTTATTAATATATTATAAGTTATAATATATTAATATGAAATCATATGTTTTAATTAGTATCGATCAAGAATTAATTTGGAATTAATTTAGTGATCAAAAGAGACTAATTAAATCTATGGGGACTAATTATGATAATTAGTTATATTTATATGTGTTGGGCTTATGATCCATGTTGGACCAAGTTTATGTATGGATACATAAAGAGTTGGGCCACATGAACCATGGATCATAAAACCCATGGGTATAGATTATGGGTTATACCCATGACCCTTGGAATCCTACATATAAATAGGTTACTCCATAGCCAAAATCACCACTTCTTTTCTTAGAGAAATATGGAGGTGTTTTGGTGCATGAAATTCTCTCTCAATAGCCACCTTTATCCTAGGTGTGTTGTGATTCCATTTGAGGCATTTCATACTATTGGTGCTAAGCTCTTAAGGCCAAATACATCAAGACTTCAAGCCACATAAAAGGTATGTTCCCTAACTAGTATATTATATGGTTTATGTCAAATGCATGCTAGTTATAGGTTTAATGCCTTGGAAACCATTTACATGTATAATAGAGAAAACATAGATCCAAGGTATTTAGGGTTGTATGTGCACCATAGGATGTTGTAGTATACTAAAACCCAACAATAAAAACCATTTTTACAGTTTTGTCATATTTTTTTAGGGAATATAACTTATTAAGGTAATTAACTTTTCGGTATGTTCATATCTGGGTAACTATCTTTTTTTTGTATACATCTAGGTAACAAACTTGTTGAAAGTGTTCACATATGACCATTATGACCTGCTATAGCAGGTTAAATCCTAGATGTGAACGCTTTCAACAAGTTCGTTACCTAGATGTGTACAAAAAAAATAGTTACCCAAATATGAACAAAACGAAAAGTAAAAATTAAATTACACGAATGGTCCCTGTGGTTTGGGGGAATTTGTGTTTTTGGTCCCTAACTTATTTTTTTAACTTGGATGGTCCCTACTGTTTATTTTTGTTGCGCGTTTGGTCCCTGTCTTTCCTAAAAAGACTATTGTGCCCTTATTAATTTATTTTTAATTAATTTTCTTATTTATGTATTTATTTTTTACATATTTAAATAGAAGTTGAGGAGATACAGATATGTGGGGTCTACTAAATTTTCTTAAATATATAAAGCATAAGTACATAAACAAGAAAATTAATTAAAAAAATAAATTAATAAGGGCACAATAGTCTTTTTAGGTAATACAGAGGCCAAGCTCGTAACAAAATTAAACAGTAGGGACCATCCGAGTTAAAAAAAATAAAATAATTAAAAAATAAACAGTAGGGATCATCCGAGGAAAATTAATTTTTTTAAATATGTAAAAAATAAATACATAAATAAGAAAATTAATTAATAAATAAATTAATAAGGGCACAATAGTCTTTTTAGGTAAGACAGGGACCAAACGTGCAACAAAAATAAATAGCAGGGACCATCCAAGTTAAAAAAATAAGTTATGAACCAAAAACACAAATTCCCCCAAACAACAGGGACCATTCGTGTAATTTAATTTTTTACTTTTTGTTTTGTTAACTATTTTTTTTTTTACACATCTAGGTAACAAACTTGTTGAAAGCGTTCACATCTAGGATTTAACCTGTTATAGCAGGTCATAATGGTCATATGTGAACACTTCGAACAATTTTGTTACGTAGATGTGTACAAAAAAACATAGTTACCCAGATGTGAACATACCGAAAAGTTAATTCCCTTAATAAGTCACATTCCCTATTTTTTTACGGTCAGCTAAACAATTATGCTTGTAGCATGAGCTCCAAAATCCACAAAAATTATTGCTAAGGTCATTAAAGTAATTTCTAAATAGTAGGGGGTCTGGAAAGTCATTTGAAATTTTGAATCATATCAAATACAAAGATTTTTCATATCTTTTCCACACGACATGCATAACAACAATTTTATCTTTCCAGATTTAAAACTACAAAACCCAATCCACCTATAATAATCACACAATCACTCATCAACTTTTTCCTGCGTGCTTCCACCCAAATACACAGATGTTGAAATTTGTTATTCTTCACGTTTTCTTCTTCATCATCATCATTTTTGAATTTTCAAATGGGTTTTCAGATTATGATGCTTTAATGAAGCTCAAAGCTTCATTAATGGTGGCATCAAATACCTCTGAAATATTAGACGACTGGAAAGTCGAAAACTCACATTGTTCGTTTTCGGGAGTTTCATGTGATGAAAACTTTCGTGTAACGTCGTTGACGATATCCTATGTTCCTCTGTTCGGAACTATCCCGCCGGAGATCGGGATTCTGAACAAACTGGTCAATCTGACGCTCGTATCAGATAACCTCACCGGTCCAGTTCCGGTGGAAATGTCTAATTTGACGTCGATTAGATTCATTAACATCTCTGGTAATGTTTTCAATGGGGAGCTTCAGGGGGATATTGTGGCAGGAATGACGGAGCTGGAGGCTTTCGACGTTTACAACAATAATTTCAGTGGGAGGTTGCCAGTGGAGTTTGTGCAGTTGAAGAATCTAAAAATTTTGTATCTCGGAGGTAATTTCTTCAATGGAGAGATTCCGGAAGATTACTCGGAGTTTCAGAGTTTACAGATTTTAGGTTTGCAACAAAATGAACTCTCTGGGAAGATTCCGGCGAGCTTATCACGTGTGTCGACTCTTGATCAGCTTCTCACCGGGTATTCCAACAGTTTTGAAGGAGGAATTCCGCCGGAGTTTGGTTCTTTCAAATCACTAAAACTACTAGATCTCGGAGGTTGTAATCTCAACGGAGAAATTCCGGCAAGCCTTGGAAATTTGAAGATGTTGCATACTCTGTTTCTTCCGTTCAACAATCTCAGCGGAGAAATACCTCCGGAGCTTTCCGGAATGGTTAGTTTGAATTTTCTTGATCTATCGAACAATAATCTAACCGGTGGCATACCGGAGGCGTTCTCGGAACTAAAAAATCTAACTTGGATTAATATGTTCGGCAACCGTCTCGCCGGTCCTCTTCCTCCCTTCATCGGTGATCTCCCGAATCTTGAAGTTCTTCAGATCTGGGGGAATAATTTCACGCTTGAACTCCCACAGAATCTCGGCCGTAATGGTCGGCTACTTATGCTCGACGTCACCGGAAACCAACTCACCGGACCAATTCCGAAAGATTTGTGCAAAGGAGGTAAAAGTCTCGCATTTAATCATTGAAAGAATAATAATTTAGATATTAGAATAACAATGGAATCCGGAAACTTATGTGATTGTTGGCGTTTATCTCAGGCAACTTACGACTTTTGATTTTAATGGATAATGACTTCTTTGGGCCCTTACCGGAAGAACTTGGTGGCTGCAAGTCTTTAACGAAGATTCGAATCATGAAGAATTTCATCAACGGAACTATTCCCGCCGGCATCTTCAACTTGCCGGAGCTTACCATGCTCGAGCTTGACGACAACAATCTTACCGGCGAACTTCCTAATAAAATGTACAGTCAGTCTCTTCAAAGTGCTTCAATGTCTAACAATTGGATCACCGGTAAGATACCTCAGGCGTTTGGTGATTTACCGAATCTAACAACTCTATCTCTCCAATCAAATAAGTTCGTCGGTGTAATTCCAGAAGCGATATTTAATCTAAAGAAGCTTTATGAAATTAACGTCAGCGACAATAATCTTAGCGGTGAGATTCCGGCTTCCATTGCTACATGTGTGCAACTTACGTCCATTGATTTCAGCAGGAACAGCTTCATTGGTGAATTTCCCAGAGGAATTTTAAGTTTGTTCAATCTGTACATACTTAATGTATCTCGAAATCAACTTAAAGGTGAGATTCCGACTGAATTAGGTCACATGGAGAGCTTGACAGTGTTGGACCTCTCCTACAATCAATTCTCCGGCAGAGTCCCAATCGACGGACAACTAAAGGATTTCAGTGACACCATGTTTTCCGGTAACCCTAACCTTTGTTTACCACAAACCGCTCATTGTCCGATCATCTCCACATCACAAAACAACAACCCTTCAATCCCCGCATCAAAGATTATGATAGTAATCATCGTTGTAATCACAACCATATCGTTATTCATATAACATTCATCAAATATAAAAACAAACACTTCGAGAAATCCAACGTCTGGAAGCTAACCACATTCTAACGCTTAGATCTAAAAGTTGAAGACGTTCTTGAATGTTTGAAAAATGAAAACATAATCGGTAAAGGTGGAGCTGGAATTGTGTACAGTGGATCAATGACGAATAGTGTTGACGTAGCATCAAAGGGTTAATCGGTGGGAACCATGGATTCGACGCCAAGATCCAAAGTACAACAAATTGGCATATCTCATGGAAGTTTAGGAGATTTTACACGGATCGAAAGGCGCACATTTGCAGTGGGAAACGGGGTATAAGATGGTTGTAGAATCAACGAAGGGACTGTGTTACCTTCACCATGATTGCTCTCCGATGATCTTACATCGAGATGTGAAGTCAAACAATATACTTTTGGATTCCGATTATGAAGCTCATGTTGCTGATTTTGGGCTCGCTAAGTTCTTGAGGGATAATTATTATGGTGCTTCCGAGTGCATGTCTTCCATTGCAGGATCGTAATGGGTACATTGCACTAGGTATAAGCTTCTAATGCATGTTGCTAATTATAAAAGTAGGTTATGTGAGAAGATAGTAGTGAAGATAAAAGTACTATCTATAATGTATATTGTACATGTATAATGCACATTTCATTTTATATTTTAATCTCTCAATTTTATATAATAGATCCTTACTTGCAACCCTTTTATTTTGTAAAATAATATTTTTCAATCATTCTACTTTTTAAAATATCACCCCTCCACTCACAACAAGAAATAGTGTCAATATGGATGACACTTTTAACGACGTCGGACCCTTTTAGCGACGACGTCGGGCAAACGTGCCTTTTGTCGTCGCTAAAGGTCACCGGCGTCGCAGAAGGTATCGTCGCTAATGTCTTTCCATCGGCGATCCAAGTGTTTCACAAGAAAATTGGATCGTCCAAGTGTTCCACAAGAAAATTGGATCGTGACCGAATGATTGTAGAATGATCCATCGGTTAGGGTTTAACCACGAAATAAACAATAGGGATGACGACAATTGCGATGTCTTGTCGTCGCTACTGAGGTCGATCCGCATAACCCTGCCAGAGGCAATCTTGGGAGAGTGACGGAAAAAAGCGCGTTTATTTCCCTTCAAATGGTCGCCGCTATTGTCCTGGTGTCGCCGCTAAAGGGTTACCCCTTTTGAACAGCCTTCTCATCCCAAACGACGTATACCTATTGCCAAAACTCTCCCATTTTTCTCCAGCGATGATTTGCGACATCACCACAACTTCCACCGACGCCACTGCTCTCCACCCGTACTTGGATCACCGAACCACTGCCGATTAACCTCCCTCACCGACTGCCACCTCCGCTTGTCGACGGTCACCTCCGGTTACGACCTGCTACCGTCGACCACGTTCCTTTTCTCTTTCCGTTTCTCTTTCTCTTTTTTTCTGACCAACATTTCACCCGTTAATTGTTATTTTTTTTACTGTTTTTAAGGTAAATATTGTCGCCGGTAAGGACACCACATCACTACCGACTGCAACTACGTTTTTCCGGCGAGCACAGGTTAGTTTTCTTTTTCACTTCTGAATGTGTATTGTATGTATGTGGATATATTAATCATTGTATGTATTGTTGAATGTATATGTAAAATTTATGTACTTTTGAATGTATATGTGAAAGTGTTGAATGTGTATTAAAAAATGTATGTATTTTTGAATATGTATGTAAAAAATATATGTACATCTAGCGACATACTCATATTCTTGTGGTAATTATAAATTTTTGTAAGTGATAATTACAAATTACAAATTTGATTTTGATGTTTAATGATTTACAAACTAAATATAAGAAAATAATTAATTTTATTACCAGATATAAAATATAATTTTAACACCCCGACTCTCAGGTATAAACTTTACAGCTTTATTTCCATTTTAAAAGGTCTACTCGACAATTTGGATGCCCTGACTCCTCGAGTAGGAACGATTTTGGCTGCGTGTTTTAAGTGACCAACTCGACGAGTTGGCGGATACAACTCGACGAGTTGGAGCTGGAGGATGAAACCCTAATTTCCAGGGTTTTGCACCCTATTTAAAGGGTCATTAGCCTCCCTTACAGCCCCCCTTGAGCTCAGAAACCCTAAATCGTGTTTACTCTCCATACTTGTGTGTTTTTAAGCTTGGAAGGTAGATCTTGGTGAGGAGAGCTTGAAGTTCAAGAAGCTTGGAACAAGGAGAAGTTGTAGATCCGAATTCTACTCCATCTTAGCACACTTTGAAGGTAACAAGTCGTTACCTTGGCTCTCCATTAGCTAGATCTATTCATTCATGGGTCTAGAACCCCTTTTGGGTGTATTGTTGTGGTATTTCCGGTCTTGGGGCAAGATCTGAGGTTGCAACTTCAGATCTGGACTCCCTTATCCCCTTATTGTCATAAAGGTTCAGTCTTTGTCAAGCTATGACCTTCTATTTGCCTTAAGCTTCTTCCTTAGCCTAGTTTTGGCTTTTAAGACCTTGCATGTGCGTAAAGTTTGCAACTTTACGTGATAACCAGGCCCTAGGAAGCTAGATCTACCAATTGGAGCATTGGAGTAGCTCAAAATCATCTGGACAAGAAATGGATCGTATGAACTCGACGAGTCGGATAGGGAACTCGACGAGTTGGGAAGGGTTTTCCCGTTATTTGGTTTTTGCATGGACTCGGTGAGTCGGTCAGAGGACTCGACGAGTCAGTAGGGGTTTTCCCTGACTTCTGGACACGCATGGACTCGACGAGTTGGTTGGAAACTCGGTGAGCCAGTTAGGGTTTCATGACCTTCTGAGTTCTTAAGGAACTCAACGAGTTACTTGCTGCACTCGACGAGTTGGGTCAACATGGACTGTTGACTTTGACCAAGGGTTGACCAGTTGGACTTTGAGGGTATTTTGGTAATTTGGATTCTGATGGACTTGGTTCTATGGTGGTGATAGGTGGTTGAGTTCGTGGCTGCGATTCGAGAGTCTTGCATTATCACTACAGTTCGATATCTGTGAGGTGAGTTTCCTCACTATACTGAAGGGTCTAAGGCACCAAGACCGGCCCTTTTGGATTGTTATCCTGATATGTTATGCTAGTATGAGCTGTTAGATTAGTGTCTTGGTGGATAGGATGGTATTATGTTGTTATGATCTGTTAGATTAGTATTCTGATTGATAGGATGATGTTATGCTAGTATGATCGGTTAGATCGGTTTGTTTGTCTATAGATTGTTATGTGATTATCTGATATATGTGCACATGTTTTATTGGTGGTTGAGGCTCCTCTGCTTTGTGCGAGAGCCAACAGGCCTGGGCATTCCAACCTGATGGTTGTGGGCCGTGAGTATTCCATCCCGAGGATGATTTGACTCGTAGTACGAGGGCATTCCAAACCGATGGTTATGGGCCTGGGGTATTCCATCCTGAGGATGACTGGACCTATAGTATGTTGGCATTCCAACCCGATGGTTGAGGGCCTGGGGGTATTCCAACCCGATGGTTGATTGGTGTCACAACTCGCATTTTTGCCAGGAAATTCTGTGATCATGTAAACGTCATCTATGATAATACTTGTAACTCTAACTTGATATCATACACTATGTTCACTCTATGACCACAAACTTAATCAAGATTCACAAGTGAAGTTCAAAACTCTACACAAAGTATCCAAATAGTCAATTGGGGAGTTGAAAACCCTAGAGATCCAGGTTCAAGTTCATTATGGACTAGGATTTCCTTATTGGGCCTAATGGACCAATAAGCATTCAATTCAACTATGTTGGGCTTAGAGACCCTATTTGGATTCTAAATGGACCCAACTCATAAATCTATAACATTTTGGACCATTTGGGCCTAGAATGATTCATTCTAACCCTAATGGGCCTTATTGGGCCATAAGAGAATTAATTTGCCTTAATGGGGCCATAAAGTCCCTTTCTTTCTTTCAAATGGTCCGTGGATCATCTAATGAGCCCAATGGGCCGAAAATTTTTATTGGGCCTATAAAAGTCGATCAAGCCAAGGATTTGGGCCCAACACCATTTTTTTTCATCCCACTAGGCCCATTCTCGGCCCAAGGAGTAAAACAAAAAAGGGAGAAATCAAGATTAATGTGCACTTGCCACCTCTTTATTGCTTGGTGGATCTCCATGCACATCACCTCACTCCCTTTCTCTTCTCTCTTCTTCTTCTCGGCCGAAACACCTCACACCACCCTCACTCTCTCAAAAATCTTTCAAGCAAATTCTCTCAAACACTCAAGAACATCCTCCTTCCTTCCATCCAAATTTTCGAGATTTCTAAGTGTTTCAAGAAGATCTTCACCAAAAAATCATCTTTCCTTGGTAAGTCCTTACATATCCAAGTTGTATAACTTCATTCTTATGTTAAGATCACTCCTTCTAAGAATTTTTGTGATCATACTCTTAGAAAACCCCCATAAGCTCGAGATCTAATCAAGGAAGGCTTGCTAGAACCGAAACCTCTTCCATTTCTTCTTCAAATCGAGATCAAACAAGCAAGGTGAGTTCATACCCCCTTGTTTTCGGTTTTCACTTGTTTTTGGGGGAGAATACAAGTATTTATGTGTAGATCTATGTATTTATGCATGTTATGTGTGATTTTCTTGGCTTTTGTTGTGTTTGTGTGATAAACTCGATGGATCTATAAAACTATAACAAAAATAATTGAGAATCACAAACAAAAACACTCTAGACATTATACTACAAAGTTAAAAGTGTTATAAATGCCTAAGTTGTGAAAAACCAAACAAAATCTTGTATAAGGATCATTTTTGGCAAATAAACAAAAGTTTGGGGTCAAGGGTGACACCTACGGTTTTATAGGGGCTAAAAAGGTATTATTAGCTTAAAAATGAGTTTTTATAACAACCATATTTTTCTAAGGGTCAAAAGTGTAAAATTTGGCATTTTGGGCCTTAATGTGGGCCTCACGGCCTATTGGGCCCAAATTGCAAAAATATCAATTTTTGGGGATTAAAATGTTATTTAATCAAAAATCGAACCAAAAATGAGAATAAACGAGATTAGGGGCTGAAAATGACACTATCTCAAGATTTGGACCAAAAATGTTAACTTTATAAAAAATTGGGCCGAAAATGTTATTTTATGCAAATAAGGGCTGAAATTGTAATTTTCTGCAAAAATGGACTGAAAATGTCATTATATGTATTTTTGGGCCAAACCCGTCAATCACTAAACATTTGGGGCGAAAATATAAATTTTTATAAATTTATGGACTAAAATGTTAATTTTGATTTAAAATATACCAAAATGACATTTTATGTAAAGTAAGCCCTTAAATGTTCAAATTAGTTCTCAAGGGACCTAAAGTGTAATTTCTAATAAATACGGGTTCAAATTATAGAATTCTGACGTATCAAACTAAAAATATCATTATAACAAAACATTGGACTTTTTATAACGCTACGGATATAAATAATTCGATTAAACGAAATACAACAATGGTGCGATTATTGGGCCTAGTATTTGCTATACATGTTTATTGGACCTTCGTGATCCAGTTACATGTTTATTGGGCCCAATGTATTCATCACATGTCTGTTGGGCCTCAGTGACCCAATTACATGCTAAATGGGCCTAATTTAGCGTTTACA